CAGTATTCAAAAATCTAGTTTCTTGTGGTTCAGAATGTTCCATATTTGAAATAAAGGCTTTTTTCAGGGAAACTATCACAAACTGAACAGGGGATGTTCAATTAATCACTTCTCTACTTTGTTCCAGCTTAAGCTGCCATCAGTGATGCAATGAAAGCAGCCGAATGAAACTGCAACTTGAAGAGGGCATCAAATTATTTCAGCTTTCACTCTCTTTCATCATCAACGCATTCCTCAAAAGCAAAAGAGCTGCTTCCTGTTCTTCTTCGTCATCTCTTCGGCATTGTTTCACTACTTTTACAATGTGGTTTTTAAATATGCAGGGCTACTATGAAGCCTTGAAGAGTAGATAACGGTTAAAAAGTAGGAGAAAGCCCCAGAAATTGTGCAGCTGGAAGAGTCTCTGACACAGTCTCTCCTCGTATTGCAGCTCCTCTCAAGTATCATTAGATGGATGCATCAATTCCTTCAAGTGATCTTTGCCCCTTTCCCACTGGTCGTCTCCTATCCTGCTCTGGAGGGGCATTTGAGATTTGAGAGTGGGGCACAGGAAGAGGAAATGTGTGAAAATCACTTTCCAGGCCCCCTCTAAGAGTTGGAGTTTCCATCAGCAGAACTCGGCTCACAGTCTATGAAACAATTCCATAATTTGACATACCTTGTAATAGCAAAAAGTCCATGATTTGTTATTGAAGAAGGCTTCTTGTGATGACAGAGTTTCCAAATCTGAGGGTGGGGAAAGGAATAGCATTAAGCTGCAACATTCCAATTCACGTTATTACTTTGGAAGTCTACAAATGGATGCTAGTTTTTAAATTATTTCATATCTTACAATGCTGTGAAAATGATATTTATATTTTAGAAGTGTTGTTACTTTTAATTTTTATTTATTATATTTATTAGTGCCACCATTTAATGTTATTTATTGTATACTTTGGCTGACCATTGTTGTTGTTGTTGATATTACCATTCATTTATTTTTTTATGTTTATTACAAATGCTTTTTATTAAAGACTGCAACTCCTGTCCACATGGTTCGTTTGGATGAATATGATTTGGCAAAGTGTGGGAGACATTCTAATAGAGAGTTCTTCTGTGAATTATGGCAACATAAGATGTCAAATTACACAGAAGGTAGACAGAGGAAACACGACCCATTTATGAATGAGGTTTTGGGCTTCTGTAAGAAGGAAAGTCTGCACCTCCTATATCAGACATGTGGAAGTTTTTTTGAGCCCAAAGACCACATTCCATTGTGGGCAACTTTCTGGGGGCCAGGTGTTGGTGTGGGCAGGGCCAAAGGCCTTAATGAGGGGAGCCCGCTGTGGGGGTGTCTCATTGCGCCCCCTCAAAACTGTGCGCCTGGGGCCATGGCGCCTCTGCCCCCACCCCACCCCACTATGCCTCTGCTGTCCAAGGCCTTTCAATTCTACAACTCTATGGTTCTGTGATTCTATGATTCATGCCACCACAACACAACCATCGAACCAGGTTATTCACTTGCTCAAGTGCTAATAAGCAGGAGACCCAAATCCAAAGCCTACCAAAGGCTCCCTCCTGAAGCCAAGAGCAACAGATCATCACCAGGAAATACAAATCTGGGATTGATGGAAAAGCAAAACAGAAATCCCACTATGTTCACAGAACCAAAATGTTGTCAACAGGGCACATAGTCATATGTGGTGGGAATGTCCAAAAGTTTAACAAATACAGCTTGAGATATCTCTAGAAATGTAAACCTTTTAAATTAAAGACAGTACAGTATTCAGTTCTCTCCAAAACGTGATTTACTTTTGATATTTGTGGGAATGAGTGAGAACATTAAATCCAAAGAGCTGCTTACCTTCCTGATTCTCACAGCAAGACCACCTATAACTCAACGATGTAAGTTGTTTTCTGATATTGGTAATACAGATTGATGGAATAAGGTTTGGAACTTTGCTCTTCAAGAAAAAACTTAAATGGCATAGGTAAAGGAACCCCTCACCATTAGGTCCAGTCGTGGATGACTCTGGGGTTGCGGCGCTCATCTTGCTTTACTGGCCAAGGGAGCCGACGTACAGCTTCCGGGTCATGTGGCCAGCGTGACTCAGCTGCTTCTGGCGAACCAGAGCAGCGCACGGAAACGCCTTTTACCTTCCCACCGGAGTGGTACCTATTTATCTACTTGCACTGTGTGCTTTTGAACTGCTAGGTTGGCAGGAGCAGAGACCGAGTAATGGGAGCTCACCCCATTGCGGGGATTCGAACCGCCAACCTTCTCATCGGCAAGCCCTAGGCTCTGTGGTGTAACCCACAGCGCCACCCACATGGATTGATGGAATAAGGTTTGGAACTTTGCTCTTCAAGAAAAAACTTACATGGCATAGCAGATCCCTAAATGGAAAGGCAAAGCCAGGTTCTTAATGGCAGCCTGGTGAGAATTTTTTAGATCTCATTAAAAACCATCAAATATATTCACTTTTCCTCCAACAGCTGATGAACATCTGGGACAAGTAACTTGTTCTAATACTTACTTCAGCCAGAAAGAAACACAGCCATAAACTTCCTCCATATTTGACTCTCAACTTCTTCCATGTCAGCTTCATCATACTGATTATCAACAACGGTCTATTACCCCTATGTCTTACATTGGTTTTTTTTCTGTTAATGTATTTACAAAATATTTGTTCTGAAACTTCCCAATAAAAATACAAAAAAGAGAGCCAAATGCTAACTGTTCCCCAGAATTTCCAAATTTAATGATACCGAAAGCCATGATGGGCAATTGCCAGTCGAGAACTGTTACAGAGACTTTAGGCTATCCCAGGTTGTAAAGACTACAAAGAGAAATGTGGGGCAGTCACAAGGCCAAATTCACAAAGCTCACTTCCTAGTCTCACTCCTGCAGCTGAGAGGAATGAGGCCATAACCAACTTGGATGGCCAACAATGGTCATCCAATAGCCATGGAATGTGATGGCAGAAGAGCCACAGCTGAAGATCGGTCATTCAGCTGACTCTCCAGTGTGGGGATGCGAAACCACAAGAGCAGTCATGTACAACATTCCTAGAGTGAACATATTTACACATGGGGAGGAATGTTTGTCCAGCCAGCAGGTAAACTTCCTGTTTCCTTCTAGGCTGGACCAGACTTCCTCTGCATGTGAACTAGAGGTGGGTGTGGCCTCACCTGTGCAGGTAATGACAAAAAGCACAGGGCAGGGCAGCCATCTCTCTCTCTTTGACTACATGCATCCAAAAGAGCAACATCTGCTTAGCTAAAAATGCTCTCTTGGCTTCCATCCAAGAGAGGACAAAGGGACTGTCTCCTTCTGAGATAGTTTCCAGGTGTATGTTACTTTTTCTAAGCTAAGTCTGCCTTCTGGGGAATCCAATTTGTGAACCAGAATGTGAGTAAACTCTTTTTATACTTTTATAGAAGACTGTGTCGTGTCTTATCTTTTATGTGGGAATAAGGGGGAAATACCAGAACAGTTATTATAGAGGCTTTAACCAAGCCTGAGCAAACGCAGCTGCTGCAAAATTTAAAGGGGAATGTTACTCTGCTAAATTATGAACCTGTTAACAGCGAGTTGGAAAGGCCTATAATCAAACAATCTATCATCTCCTGCATCCCTGAACATTCCACATGCAGAAGCACCAGGAGCAACACGCTCTCAAGGTATGGAAGAAACCTCAAACCCAAAGAGTGGATATACAGCATGTCACACAGTAGAAGCAAGTATTTAGCCCTCCAAACCTACCTCCCCACTGGAAACATCTAGAGATATTTCCATGTTATGTTTTATTGAGGAGGGGGAAGAAATGTAATGTAGGCATTATTGACTGAGTTAAGAAAAAAGGGTAAGGGACCCCTGGACGGTTAAGCCCAGTCAAAGGTGACTATGGGGTTTCTGTGCTCATCTTGTTTTCAGGCCGAGGGAGCTGGCATTTGTCTACTGACAGCTTTCCAGGTCATGTGACCAGCAGGACTAAGCCTCTTCTGACACAATGGAACACTGTGACAGAAACCAGAGCCCACGGAAACGCTGTTTACCTTCCCACTGCTGCAGTTCCTATTTATCTACTTGCACTGGTGTGCTTTTGAACTGCTAGGTTGGCAGGAGCTAGGACAGAGCAACGGGAGCTCACTCCATCCTGGGGATTTGAAACCGCCGACCTTCTGATCGGCAAGCCCAAGAGACTCAGTGGTTTAGACCACAACACCACCCGTGTCCCATATTAACTGAGTAATATGAGTAATATCAACTGAGTACTGTAGTACCTCTGGTTAAGTACTTAATTCGTTCCATAGGTCTGTTCTTAACCTGAAACTGTTCTTAATCTGAAGCACCACTTTAGCTAATGGGGCCTCCTGCTGCCACCGTGCCGCTGGAGCCCGATTTCTGTTCTCATCCTGAAACAAGGTTCTTAACCTGAAGCACTATTTCTGGGTTAGCGGAGTCTGTAACCTGGTACCACTGTATTTCAATTTAAAGTATTTCAATATGTTCTACACACACCTATGTATTCAGGCAAGGAAGAGGAATTATCACACAGTTCAAGGACACCAGCAAAGCACTCAAGCAGTGGGGTCCATGAGAGATATCGCCTATGGAGGTGAGGGTCTGGGGAGAGGCCTGAGGCCCAGATAGAGAGGCCTGGGGTCTCTGGGCCTGAGGTTCCCAAGGACACTGGGATAGGAGACATAGAACTTCCTCCCCATACAAGGAAGCACCAAATATCTTCCTCAAGTTGGTCTTGCTTCCTCTGTCCCCACCATTTACAGCCTAACTCTCTGATAGAATGTCCCCCATACTTCATATCATTGAAATAGGCAAAATCACCCAAATGACCCAAATTGCTGAGATGTGCATTTTTAATAGGAAGACTGTTGAAATGGTCAGTCAATGAAAGGATACAATAAATAACATTAAATAAAGGAACTTCATAAATATAATAAATACAAATAAATATAAAGAGCAAAAAGCGTTTCCGCGATATAAATAACATCATCATCAACGTGGCTTCTTTTTTACTTTGGATCTCTAACTTCTGCGTAAGACTTCATGGTAGCATGGCATTTCTTGGTTACAGAAGAAGAGGGACAGAAAAGGGCAGCTGTTTTAATTTCTAGAAATCTGTCTGAGGAATCGAGCGAAAGCTGAATGGTTGTAGTTGTAGCTTCATTCGCCTCTTTCCGGTGCAACTTAAGCTGAAAGGAAGATGAAAAGTGGTTAGAATCCTGCATTCATTTTGAAATACCTTGCTTTTCATTTCAAAATATGAAAAATTATGAATCACAAGCACTAATATTTTTAAAACGGGCTCCTCAGAAGAATCAGAAAATGGAAAGGTAAGTTTTCTGAAAGCTTCTCAGACCTGATTAAAGTACAGTGGTACCTCGGGTTAAGTACTTAATTCATTCCGGAGGTCCGTAGTTAACCTGAACTGTTCTTAACCTGAAGCACTGGTACTTTAGCTAATGGGGCCTCCTGCTGCTGCCACGCCACTGGAGCACGATTTCTGTTCTCATCCTGATGCAAAGTTCTTATCCTGAAGCACGATTTCTGGGTATGTAACCGGAAGCGTATGTAACGCGAGGTACCACTGTAACTGTCTTTCTTGATTGTGATGACATGAGAGAATATGTATTTAATGATATGTGTAAAAGTGAATCTTTCTATATTTTTGGCTTCTGATGTTGCATGGAATCTGATTTTTCTGTGATATGGTCCCTTGTTGCAAATGAACAATGCTGTGCACTGGATAGCTCTTACGAGTATTCCCGCTGGTTCCCTCCATGTTGCCAGCAGGGTATTGTTGATAGCATGTGAAAACCACCAGAATCTGCTTCACCAATGTGGATACAAACAGCCCGCTACACCACATGAAATCACATCAGAGATCAATCCAATTTATCATAGCAGGAACTCAATGGGAAGAAACATCTACAATCTGTCCCATCCACGTGGGTCTTTCATGCAGAGAGTCCCCATTCACATAGCATCACCTTGCGGATTAAGTTTTTTTCTTGCAACAACAAGGAAGAAAGCCTAAATCACCAGAATTCTGAGGAAATCCACAACTTCTTCAAGAAGAATTATGAACATTTCTTAGTGGCAAGTGAGGGCAGGTTAGACATCCTGAAAAGGTTGCTGAGAAACTAGCTGTTTTTCTCACCTAGTTCTAATCAAGTCGTATGTATTTTTTAAAAAAGTGTACAGTACCTTCGTTAGAGATTCTTTTGATGAGTTGATCTGTCAGCACAAAACATTGCCTGATCTGGATCTGGACAGTCACCCAAGCACATAGGCTGTGATCTTTATCTTTCAGGAGATCGTGGAGTATTTGGAAGTATCTTTTCACTCTCAGTCTGGTGAGCAGAGTTTTCCGACCTCTTGTAGATGTGAGGCCACGCTCCAGCTCTGCACTCCAACATGTTTCCAGCTTCTGAATTTGCTGGTCCAGTTTGGTCTGGAAAGCGGTTGTGGAATTGCCATCCCAACCCATTTCAGTATGGTTTTGTCTGAAGATGTGCAGAGTCTGTTGGAGGATCTCTTGTATAGCTGCTTTGGCATTCTCCACCTGGACCTCATTGATGTTCGTGAAGATTTCCTGATTCGTTGTGACGTCCATTTCCTCTCCTATGCATTGAATAGGAATGGTTGCTCCCGTTTTGTTCTTCAGAAGCTCCAAGTTGGCCTTGTTGGCTTCATGTAGCCAGCTGTGAAACTGGTTACAGTCCAGAGATGAGATTTTGGAGAAGAAAAGCATCATTAGGCCTACATGCAGCAACCATCCCTTGGTGATCATGGTGGAGATGAAGGAATGTGGTCTTTGGTAGAGCACTGAATCTGGAAGACTGTGTCTTGAGGAAGATGTTCTGAAGTCTGTTCCATCTTTGAACCATGGCCTTGCCTTTAAACATGTAGTCGCAGAAGTTTTCCTCTGTCTTTTCTGTTTATGTGGGATTCCCCTTTCTGAAAATACTCTTCTTTCACTTTCTCCCCTTTGTACGATTTGTAAAATCACAAAAGACCAAAAATGCTGTTTTCAGTTGGGATACGCATATTTAGAAAACGTTTCATTTTTGACCAAAAACACCTTTAAATTAATGTGAAAATGTTTTTTTAATAGTGAAAACCAAAATCTATTGTTATGTTGCCTTTTCTCAAATTCATTTTATCAGTTCAAATGCCAAACAGCTGGAATTTCTCATGATGTAACATAGACTGGCCAGCAATATCAGTCTATGGCTGCTCCATGCGGAATAATTTTAACAGGTATGGAGTGGTCCCAGCGATGCAGTGTTTAGAGCTGGTTTCCCACATGCATGGACATCATTTGGTTACTCTTCCTTTGGTGAGCAACAGCTGAATGTGTGAACCCGCCCTATTGTTTTATAATTGAAATGCTTTGAACATCATGCCTGCAGTCTTTGAACTAAGATTCCTAATTCTTACAGCAACTGTGTACTAAGCAGTAGCAGTCATTCATATACAAACATTTAAGCTGCTTACAGATCATGAAGAGGGATGTATGTGAAACTCCTTGCAGGCATTTAATGGTATGTGTTTATTAGCTATTAGCTGCCATTCACATAAAGGTCTCAGGACAGCACACCACACAATAAAAAAAAATACAATTTGTTCACAACTGCACAGTTAAACACAATCAGCCAGAAAATCATATACAGAGACTAACGACCAGAGCAACTCCCCCCTCCTGTGGTTTCCAGCAACTGGTATTCGGAAGTGTGGGTAAAAGTATAAACCATTACACACCAGATGGGACTAGGAGTACTCCAGAAACAGAGAATATGGGGGCTACCGCCAAGAAGGTCCCTCATGTGCTGCTGGTCCCACCCTGACACCTGAGGATGGTGGAACAATCAGCATTGACTACCAATCTTAAGTCCTGGGCCGGTCTGTAATGGAGAAAGTGATCTTTCATGTATTCTGGACCCCAGATCCAATCTGTCAACAGTTAGACTGTATATTTGTCTTGGGTGGGAATAAGCAACCAGTGCAATTTTCACAGAACTAGTGTAAAATCTGACCTCCTGGCTGCCCTGATCAATAGTCCAGCTGCTTCATTTTGCAGTAACTACAGTTTCTGATGCCTCTTCAAAGAGGCAAGGCACAACCATCCAATCTGGAGTTTGCCAGAGCACAGACGGAACCAGAGCCTTGATCACAACTGGATCACAGAATGTAGATCATCCTGTTCCATGAAGGGACATGGCTGGCAGGGTCTTGGCCAGTGAGATCACTAGAGCCCCAAGTAGCAATGCTATATCAGAGAACACCCTTACACTTTGGACCTGACTTCTCCGGGGGGGGGGGGGGCAACCCTGTCCTTGACAGGCCTCCTCACCACTGACTTGGCATACATAATACCTCCATCTAATATGGACTCAACTTTAGTTTGTCTGCCCTTATCCAGGCCTGTACATCCTCTCCTGATTCGGATGGAATGGGGAGATTGAGCTCAGTGCCATGTGCATACTGATGACACCCCACTCCACCAGCTTCAAATATAAGGTGAATAACCGGGAATACAAAATGGAACCCTGCGGAATATCACAATGGGGCACTTCCCATGGTGTTCAGCAGTTGCCCCCACCCCCATATCATGCACTGTGCTGAAGCTGAACTTAATTTTTGCATTCATGGAAGTTCCTTTTCAACAACGAAACGACTGTTTTCCAAATCTTCAGCATCACTTTTGGTCCTGTGTGATTTAAAAACCCAAAGGAAGGAAAAAACCTGAAACTAGAGTATTTTCAAAAGGAGGAAGCCCATCCTCACCAAAACTGAAAAGGACAACAGAAAACTTCAGCCATGTAGCATTTAAATACAGGGACATGGCTCAAAGATGGAACAGACTCCAGAGCTTCTCCCTCAAAACGAAATCCCTCAGCACTCCAGCAAAGACCACGTTCCTTCATCTCCACCATGATCTCAAAGGGGTGGCTTCTTTGCTTTGGCCTAGTGATGATGCTCTGCTTCACTGAAATCTCATCTCAGGACTGCAGCCAACTTCGCAGCTGGCTAAATAAAGACAACTTGAAGCTTCTCAACAGCAAGATGGGATCCACAATTCCCCTACAATGCATCGGCCATGTGGCCAATTTCTCCAACAACGAAGGAATCCACAGCCACGAAATCCAGGGGGAGGATGCCAAAGCAGCCACACAAGAAATCCTCCAGCAGACCCTCCACATCTTCCGGCAAAACGACAGCCAAATGGACTGGGGTGAGACTTCCATAGCTGGTTTCCAGGCTGGGCTGCACCAGGACATTGAGAAGCTGGGACGGTGCTTGGGTGCAGAGAAGGGCAACAGCATCCGACAGCGGGTGAAAAGCTACTTCAGAAGAATCAACGACTACCTGAAAGATGACGGGTACAGCCTGTGTGCCTGGGAGATTGTCCAGATGGAAGTCCGGCAATGTTTTCTGCTCATCGACCAACTCCTCAAAAGGACAGGAAATTCAGGTACTTGTATGCTTTTAAAAATAATGTTTGTAGTTAGAACTAAAGAAATAGAAATTCCAGGGCAGCCGCTCAGCTTAGCAGATACTACTTGCTACAAACAGGGAAGCCTAAGGTTCCAACTAGTTCCCAGTTAACTGAGGAGGAAACCACACCCAGAGAAGACAGGTGTGTCTCTTAAAAAGAAAGGCCACGTCTCCTACAGGGAAAGCATTTCAAACTGGATAACTAATGTTATGTACTGAGTTGAATAGGATCCAAAATGCAGCAGTCTGATTGGTCCTAGAACAATAGGATCCAAAATGCAGCAGTCTGATTGGTCCTAGAACAATAGGATTCAGAATGCAGCAGTCTGATTCGTCCTAGAACAATGCAGCAGTATGATTGGTCTGCAGGAGCCACCCAATCCAGCTCCAGGTGGAAGTGAATCCACAACCTGATTGGCCAACAGGAGAATTCGGAATTAGCCAATCACGTGCAGCACATTGTGTAAATAATGTATATAAAGCAGATACTTTGGGGGAACTTTCATTCCTCCTCCCACTATGAACTGAATAAAGAGCATGAAATCCACTCTCGACTCCGAGTGTATTTCAATTAATCTATTCTCTTCTTCATTCCAGCTTAACCTTCAGTCGGTGCTGCAACGAAAAAATGGGATGAAACAGCAGAATGGAATTGTGGCTTGAAGAGGGCATCCCAGTTACTCAGCTTTCATTAGATTCCTCCAGCAATGCATTCCTGGAAAGCAAAACAGCTGCTTCCTGTTCTTCTGCACCTGCTACTGTTTGCCAGATGCAAAGTGGTGTCTTTAGGACGGAAGTCTGTGTTTTCCTCGGTATCAAGAGAGTTTCTCTTCGTGCAGAAAAAGCACTCCGTTCCTCCAGCAATGTGTTTCTCAAAAGCTAAACAGCTGCTTCCTCTTCTGTTTCATTTGCTGCTACATTGTTTTGTTAAGTTAAAGCTAGTGAAGTGTGATTTTGAAATGTGAAAATGCTACAGGGAAGCCTTACATGGAAGATAAAGGTTCAAAAGGGAAAGGGGGAAAAAGATGATTATCCTGTACTGTTTTTCCACCCTCCGCAATCTTCTCTTTACCTGCGGGAGGGATATAGTTTATATTTCCTTAGACTGATTTTCCCTTGCAATGTGTTCTAGGTGGTATTCTCTGTTCACACGGGGCGCTAGGACAGGCATGGCCAATGCTACAAAAAGACCAAAGATTTGCCCCAGAATCTTCACAAACATGATGAGCTTCTAAGGCAGAGGTATAGGTGTTCCTTGACAGAATATTAATTTTATAAAAATCACAGATCCTTATTCTTAAACATCTGTGTTTGGAAGGGCTAGTTTGGAGGCTGCCAATCATAGAAACTGGTCAAAACAGATTGGGGGGGGGCACAGGAAGCTACACAGTGATGGGGAGGGAATTGGGGGGGGAAATAACATTTACCCCTTCCATAAATGAGAGTTTCCATGCAACAACACCACTCGCGGAATCTCCAATGTACCCATAATTTAACGCATTCTACAAAAGCAATAAGTTCACGATTAGGTTGGAAAGGCTACATACAAGCACAGATTTTCCAAACCTAGGGCAAAATTCGTAGTACGGTAATAATTTATTTGCTAAAGGAACACAGTGATTTATGCAGGTCAAGCAGTCAGAGATGCAAGCATCTTAAGTGGGACAATTATTCTTCTAAGAAGTGTGCCAAATGAAATGCACTATAGACATACGTGATTTCTGTTATTTAAAAAATATTTATTTTATTTATATAATGCGTGTGCTACTTTTATTTTATATTTATTTATTATTCATCTGGCTACGTCATGTCTTTTATTGTATCTTTTCTTCACCGACTGGAAATATCAAATGTTCTTCCTATTAAAAGCTGCAACATGGGTCAATGGAATGATTTTGCATGTTTGAAGGCATGACGTGCGGGAGCTATGAGAGTTTGGCTGCACATGATGGGGACCTCATATGTCATGTTGCAGAGGAAGATGGGCAGAGGAAGCATGACTGATCTGTAGGTGAGGCTTGGTGCTTCCATCATGTAAGGTCTAAGGAGAAAACTCTGTGCCTCCCTCAACAGTGAGGTGGGTGACCTGATGAAGAAGGCACACATTGCACAAATTCCTTCCAGAGGGATGCTCAGATTCCTGTTTTAAGCATTACAGAGGGAAGACAATTTCCTTGTTCTTTGTCTCCCTTTCCCCATGTTTGTAGCCATTCACAGTACACGTAAAATGGTTAAGGCTGCAATCTTAGTCCGCATATATCCAGGAGTAAAGGGACGTGGGGTGGCGGTTGTGGGTTAAAACCACAGAGTCTAGGACTTGCCGATCAGAAGGTCCAGTGTTCAAATCCCCGCCGATGGGGTGAGCTCCCCGTTGCTTGATTCTCTGCCTCACTGCCAACCTAGCAGTTCGAAGCACGTCAAGGTGCAAGTAGATAAAATAGGTACCGCTCTGGTGGGAAGGTAGACGGCATTTCCATGTGCTGCCCTCTGGTTCACCAGAAGCGGCCTTAGTCATGCTGGCCACATGACCCGGAAGCTGAGATTAGTGCCCCGCAACCCTGGAGTTGGTCACGACTGGACCCTAATGCGTCAGGGGTCCCTTTACTTATCCAGAGAGTAAGCCCCAATAGAATTCAGTAAGACTTATTTCTAAGTGGGCATGGTTAGGATTCCTGCCTGCAGCCTTTTAAAGTATCCTTTTTTAAAACTCCAATGAGACAGATTGATATTATTTTAAAAACTACTACAGATAAATTGGGGGGGGGTGAAACAGGATGAATGTGTCATTTTCCTTTAATTTTCAAGATTTTATCATGAAGTTAAAATAACAATCCAGTAAGAAACATGAAATAAAATGGAGAAGAAGAGAAACAGAGACAAAACACTATTTTAAACAGCCAAGGCTTACCCCCAAGTATTCTGGGGTGCTGAGGGTTGCTACGGAACCCCTGTTTCTCTCAGAGAACTACAGAATTGACCAATCCATCCCTCTTCACAGAGATCTCT